TAAGATATATAATTAAAATAAGAAAGATAAATAATGCCTATTTCTATATATATATATAAAATATTCTGACCATCTAATAAACTGGAAATCATCCGAACTTATCTAAAAATCAGAATATTACATAAAAAATTGTTGAAATCTGTGTAGTTAATAGCATACTAGTATAATAATTTTGAGGGTCATTCTAAACAAAATGGTTTTGTCAACACACTTGTACATCCTACAGAAAATATGGGATCAAATTTCATCCCATAAGCTACACGCTGGAATAAACCTCTCTTTCTCTGTGAGACACCATACAACTGAGTAGAGCATGTGAAAGTTTTTAAAACTAGTATCAAAGTCTTTGTATCAAAGTTCCAAAAACAGTATGGATTCTAGTTTTAATCTGTAGAGGTCCGTATAGATGCAGTCAATCTATTATACAAAAGCATCAATAGAATATATCACAGATAACATTAACCGAATGAGAATTAATCTGAGGGCCTGGAGGGCTCTGTAGTTATAAAAACAAAAGCTGAGAAATCCCTGATTTCATATCCTTTAACCATTTGTTTCAGTCATCAATTCTGAGAAACTTGATAACTCAGCTGTACAAGTGAACAGCTCAAAAAGGAAAGGAAAAAGTTTGTTTGTTGACACAATAGGCTATTTGGTCTCTGCCCACCACAAGTATGGAAACCCAATTTTTAATGTTATAAGCTCACTCACTTAATGCTGAACCAACAGAGGGTTGAGAAAAAATGAAAAAAATGAATTTTAGATGCTGTCTGAAAAATCTTCCAACAGAAAAAGTTTTACCACCAAAACTAGTTGTAAACTTAGATCACCATCCAACGTAACAGCTAGAATTACACATAAAACAGGTGTTAAATCTCAAAGAAATAGAAGCATTTTATATCAGAATTCCAGTGTGTTATTATCATAACAAACTTTAAAACAAGAATAAAACAAATCTGCTCAAGTTATTAATTCAAGTAAACTACTTCTAGTTGTGTGATACCAAACACAAATAATGCATTACCAAACAAGAACAGTACCTTTCAACTAAAAAACCCTATGTTTAAAATAAAACCATACCAACAAAATGCAATCACTTTTCAGGCTACACGGAATGGTTATATAGTGTAACTTAAAAAAATAACATAAATGGGATAAAAGAAAATTCAACAACAACAAAATAAAATTGTTGTACATTACAACATCTTATTTTTACACTAAGAAAAACCTGACAACCACCATCACTTTTTGTCCAAAACAATTATGGGAAACTTAAATTATTTAGAAGTCTGTAGCTATCTTTTTTGTTTTATAAACATAATAGCACCAGTTTGTGTCTAAAAATGCACCTATGCATAAGATGTTAAAATACAAAAGTTAAAATATGACTATAAAAGTGAAGTCTTAATGTTATTCAGAAGTAGTACACTTTACTTAGAAATATTTATTACAGTTTAATGTTGTCATGGAATAACATATCATAACTGCACAGTCAATACACATGTGCCATAGTTAAAATCTGAAAAAGTATATTAAAAGCATGGTAAAAATGATAAATGTGGTCAGCTGAATTCTTAACTTATTAAATTTATTTAATATATATATATATATATATATATATATATATTTATTCGATGCATTAGCAACCAATTCAGAAATGGTAAAGTGTCACCAAGATTTAAAATATTAAAATAATTTTTTAATTCACAAACAAATTCATTATGTGTTGAGAGTGATGATAGGAAACTTTTGTTCAGAAAATAAACACAAGTATACTTAATATGTTTTATACCTTACACTAACATTACCTTATACATTGGTGACAATGGTATTTTGTTCAGTAGAAGGCAGGTCAGTTTCTGGGGGTTCTAGTTCCATATCTTCTAGTATCTCACTTGAATAATCCACATTTCCAGGTATACTGGAAGCTATTGAATCCTTTGAAGAATTTATGAACCCGTCTGATGCATAAATATTTGATGAAATACTCTTAGGGTTTATATCTCCAATACTCTTTACACTTTGCCCATCCATGTTTTCCTGTGAATATCTACTATTCTGTTCTTGCTGAAACTTCATCAACATGGCAAGAAGACCAGCATTAGAAGTTTGAGTCAAGGTCTCTTCATTATCATATTCTTCAAAATCTTCACCAGGACTGGAAGGATGACTACCAGTTTTAACATTCTGCTGCCAGGTTGCATGGTGCTGACCAGGTTCAACTTTGACCTCAGAACTTGAATCCGCAACACTAACTGATCTTCTTGGTTTCAAACTGAGAGATGAGGCTATCTTATTTGCTGTACTGAGGAGGCCGTCTTTGTGTCTGAAAAGTATATTCTTCACAGGATTTTCTTCAGCTGAATTTGTAATTATGCTAGTAGTTGAAGCATTTCTGCCATGTTTACTAGTAGAGATTAAAGTAACAAATGAACCAGTAGGAGACCTGGTAACTGAAGGGGTAGATTTATTGATTTTTCTGGCTCTGTTAAATTTGTGCTTCATTCTTAATATGTTTTTCTGTCCTGTTACAATGAAAAAATTAATTACATCAATTTATGATTATGACTACAAGAATCAAAATGTTTCTAATATATTTGAAATATCATAAAAACTTGGTTTTACATATAGTCAAAAATGATGACAAAATAGTGATTAAGCATGCCCAAAAACAAGAGAAGTTAAACTTGTCCAAATTGGTTCAGTTTTTGATTACCTGCTACCTGGCTCATTGTGAACTATAAAATTAAAGGTCAAACTGACCTGTAATAAAAACCAATTGTCACTTGATCAATATATAAAGTGTTTGTGATTAATCCTCCAGAAGACAATATACTTCCATTTTAAACCCATAATCAGTAATCTAAGTAAATACGATTATTTATAAAATTAAAAAGTTATTATGAAACATTAGCAGTATATATGGATATGTCAAAAGATGTATTCTTTAAGTTAACTGTAGCCTGTGTGGGTGGATTGAATAATTTAATTTAATCATTTGCAAAATTTATACACATTTCCCCTTTGCCAAACATTATACATGAGACTGGGCTAATAATCAAAACAATGTTGCTAGCAAACTTTACACAAAATACATTTCAATTTAACATAAACTACCTGTGTAAAAAATTTCAGAGGGTTTCAAAGATTAAGTAATGCAAATTTTCAAATTTCTTTCTAGTATAACTTTCAGTGTCAGGTTAAGATCCTTAATGGTACATAATATGTTGATTACCATACCACCATGAAATATTTTGGTTTCAATTATAATGATGTTATCTTCCTAGAAAAGTAACTGCTTTGGTTAGAACAGCATTTGAATATGATACATTTATTTACAATAATCCTGAATGTTCAGTTAGTTAGTAATAAGAAAACTACCATATGCTCTTACATTATACAGTATGTTACATTACTTGTGTGGGCTCAAAAAGAAAAACAAATTCATAAAAATAACTTAATTACATATCTAGTTAGTACTGTTAAAAAAAAAGAACACATGGATAAAAATGTGATATGTTTACAGAATGGCAATGGTAAATAATAAATGTTTAAGATTTTGCATGGTGACTCAATATATGGTTGGCTGTGTGTTTGTATTTTACTTATTTTATCAGATTATAAAGTTTTCCTGTAGACAAAGATAAAAATTACATTTTTTTATTCAAATCACTTTTGAAACAAAATACTTTTAATTATTTACATAATGTAAAATTTACCATAATACAAACACATTTCAATACCTTTGTATTTTTTTTTAATAGTGATTTCCATCAATTTAAAGTCTTCAAGTTTAGACATGACCCAAAGTACACAAATTTTATATGGCTTTGTTTATTTTCTAGCCCAGTGTTTCTCAAAGTGGGAGCTGCAGACCCCTGGGGGCTGCCAAAAACACAGACGCTGAATTAATTTTAAATGAATAATAAGCTGATAAAAAAATGTTGAATAAATTAAATGGGACAATATGTCATAAGGAGATGTTACTGTTTCTACTATGGCACTGTTTTCAATTGCCATGCTAAAGTAGTGGGGGAAAACATTTTAAGGCATTTTATATAGGTTGGGGGCCTCAACCTTTTTTATTCACATCAAGGGAGCCTAAGACTAAAAGAGTTTGGGAACCACTCTGCCAGCCTGCTGATAGATGGTACACAACACTTATTGCTTGGACATTAGTTGTTCATCCAACCTCTAATACTGAAAGGAATTTAAAATAACAGATTGAGCTAATGTGCGTGATCACTCAATTTACTATTTTTATGCCCCAAAATTTAAGTATTTATTTACTACAGCATAATCATTATGTAATATGGCACCTGTGAGTCAGCAGTAAGTTTACGGGCTTACAATGCTAAAATTTGGGATTCAATTCCCCATGGTGAATACAACAGAGCCTAATTTGGTTTGCTCTAACACAAACAACAAATTTGTCCCCCAGTGGCTCAGCAGTAAGTCTGAAGGCTTATAAAGCTAAAAATGGGGTTTTGATATCTGTGGTGGGCACAGCACAGATAGTCCATTGTGTAGTTTTGTGCTTAACTACAAATAAACAATTACATAACATACTCTAAAAGTTAAACTTGAGAAATATGACAGCTGATCTAGTAATGTGTGTGTGTGTGCAAGATTTTTTATTTTTTCTGATCTTGGTTTATTTATTCTTCTAAACCTGTAGATTAGTACCTCTTCTATATTTTGGTGGACAAGTATTTTTGTACTAAATCACAAAAATCATTATATTCATCAGTAATAACAGTCGTATAAACATATTGAATTAGGTTAGATTGATTCTGTCAGTGTTCATGGAAAGCTGAAATTCTCATCATTTTAGAATGGAACCATTATAATGTATCTTCTTACACTGATGTTCTGAACAATAATATTTTCCAAACAACGACAAATAAAATTGTCCATATCAATATTCCTTACAGCTATATGTCCAGCACCCTTGAAGTGTTATATATCATAACTATTTCTGGAATATTTTTTGTATAGGACCATCGAAGAGCTTTACAAATCATAATTATTCCTTATAATGTCTGAAAATATTTGTATGAATCACAGATATTCCTGATATTTATAAAAAGTTCATAAATGCAAGTTTTATAAATCAGAATTATTCCAGATAGTTATTTTGAAAACATCAGTTTTACAATTTATAATCATTGCCGATAGTTATGTCTTAACTTAAAACAAGAAAATTATTCTTGATAGTTGTCTGTAAATATGTTTTACAGATTATAATTGTTCCCCAATGATTTGTTTGAAAACATCAGTTATAAGTTATACTTCTTCCTAAAAGTTAAGTTGTGTGTATCATTATTATTATTATTATTGAAAGTTATTATTAAAAACATCAAGTTTATAAGTTATAAGTATCACTAATAGTTAAGTCTGGAAACATCAGTTGCATACATCATAATTATTTCTTATCGTTCTATTTCAGACCAAGCCATGAATGAATCTGGTTTACAGAATGCTTACTGATGAAGTTCGGATGCTCAAGTCCCTAGTAAAAATACTGATGTAATTGATTGCCAATGTTATGTTACACTGTATAAGCAAACAGTTTTTAGTATCTACAGTCACCATAAATGAGTGATTATTACCACTAGGTTTCATTATTCTTTGGTTACTACCAGGTTATTTTTACACTGATATATTTCCATTTTGTTGTCTTTGTGTTTTGTTTTTTTTTGCAATAACAGTCAAAACACATTCTATGAATAAACAAACATACAATACATTTATTTAACATGAATGATTAGCATTATGTATTGAAGATGTTTACATAAGATCAATTCATATGTACAAATAACAAAGAAAAAGTATAGAATGAACTCTTGAGAGTAAAAAAAAAAAACTCATTTCAGGCTACAGTATGTTATGTCAGACAATCACCTTAATGTAGTTCTGAATATTTAATACTAACAGTCATCAAAATATGCTACTGATGTGGATATTTTGCATATTTATACAGATGTAATAAAATATGTACATCAGGCAAAAAGGAAAAGCGTGAACTCCATGCATAAAATTATATAATAAGCAAGAGGATTACTTCAGTTTAGGTGTATAAAATTTAACTGGCAAGAAGTCATAGAATTTGTTGCATGCCACTCTGTATAGTATTAGTAATAGTTTATTAATAATATTTTTGTGCTTTATTGTTCTTCAGGGTAGCCTCAGTCTTTAATTTTACTATCCATTGCTTGTTGGATATACAATGGTCCTCTTATTTCCACTTTCACCAAAGTTATAATTTTCCTATACTGAAAATGTATTTATGATAGGTACTTATCTGTCTCACATAAATAGCTATTATCATTCAGTGCTGCCCTCTATATGCAAAAAAAATTTTGCATACCACAACCCTTGAGCTCCCATGTACCATATGATCAATGTGGTTCAACTGTGTCTCACATGTAAACCATCATGCAACAACCCTCCACAAATAGGAGTGTGACATACCCTCCTGATGCATGTGACTCCCTCTATTCGATTCTACCGAACTATCACCAGTTTTCAGCAGGGAGGAAGGGTGGGAAGTGAGAGATGAGGTAAGTACCTCTTGGAAATAAATTTTCAGTATAGGAAAATTATAATTTCCGATACGGTACATTATCTCTATTCACATAAATAGCTATAATCCCATATTGAATAGGTGGAAGGACCGGTGCGAGGGAAAGAAAGAAGCATCCAAAGGACACCTTAAGATGGGGGATCCTCACATTAAAAGATCATATGTAGGAGACCACACCACTTCTGTACCAGGTATACTACTCAATACCCAGTGTAGGAAAAGGTGATGCACACATAGGCAGAAAAAGGGAGGAGCAAATCCAAAAGAGAGAAAATTGGTTGGATAGAGATCCGAATCACCCGACATCTGAATCTCATTCCCATAGATGACAGTAGTGTGGGTGAGAGTAAAAAGGATGTGCCCCAAGGTGTAGGGTGGCTAGGGCATGACAGACTGTATGTGGCAAATCAATTGCATTCAAAACCCAGCCACCGGGAACTGACATCCATGTGGGGGTAGGAAACAAGATCATACCGTTTTCACCTCAGTTCAGCAGACAGGAGGGAAATATCATACCCACCGATCTGTTAACAGGAAACATGATAGCAAAGTGATAAAATGCATGACCATTCCGGGAACCCGACATCTGGATGATCAGAATAATAAAGATGTACCAGTATTGTAAAATATCTCACTCAAAACCAATCAAGATAGGAACCACCCCAGCACAGTAAAGTCCTGGTATGTGAAAATCTTCAAGGGATAGAGCAAGAGGAAGAATTGAAGTAACCTGCATGATCATCCACCATGACCCACAAAATGTTAGCAGTAAACATGAATCCAACTGAGTGAAGGAACAGAGACACCAGTAATACAAAACTCAGCCACTGAGAACCAACATCCATGTGGAGGTAGGATGAGGGATCCCAATCAAACTGCAATTTTGACAACTCACTCCAAAGCTACAACACCGCCTTGGATAGACCCGTTCAGAGATGGAGTGTCAGATTGGAGGAAATCTTGTCATCTACGCCAGCAGACCACCACCACACTACTCTCAACTGAATGGATTCATTATTGTTTGTATCATATATCACTATCACATTCAGGAGGATGCTTCCATGATCCACCACTCTAGCAGCTTGGAACTGGAAACTGGTAAGGATTCCTGTACTCCACTGGAAGAAAAAAAGGGGGAGAGAACTTGCAGTGGAGAGTCTGGAGGAACATCAACACTGGAGACAGTGCAACAGGTGACCACAAAAACCCTATTTTGAAAAGCAGGTCATACCCGATTTGTTAAATTGAAGGCATGGGCAGCTATCCCATTCTGCTTTAACCATGAAGTTCATGGGTGAGTACAGTCCTGAACAGTCATATTAATGAAGCAAATATAACATGAGGAAACCCCTACAAGCATTCCTGTGGAACACCCCATCTTAACAGTGAACATTTTATGGTCACAGAAACTAGAAATATGCCGACAACATGGCCAGACAGTGCAAATTTGACTATAGGGAAGCATATCTGATCAGGCACCACTTGCCATGGAGCAGGATACATACAGTATAAAAAAAAAAAACCTGAAAAGTTATATATATATACACAATACATAACTTACCCAGACACAGTCTCACCGAAGTCTGAAGAACGGCTACAGGTGGAAGACGATAACCTGAAGATGAAGACAAAGTGATCTGATGCAGACAGTAATATATAAGCGTATGCAAGATAGTCCACATACTCAACAGAGATGAGACACCAGAGAAAAGGTAAGGTGCCTGATCTGATGAGAAGACACCTGGAACAAATTATGGGAAGAAGAAGAAGATAAGGAAGAATAAGCCAAAATCCAATTGGTCAGGGTGGAAGGAGAAAGGTCACGAACAGAGGATGTCTACCAAGGAATGAATAGGTGGGAAAAGGCACCATGCGGGCAACATAACAATGAAGAGCACAAACAGGACATAGTAGCATATCCTGATCCAAATGAAGATAATGTTGGGAAATGGAAGGAAGAGAAATTGGTAAGAATGAGGATTTACCCTCCCAAGCTGCTAAAGTTTTGTGAAGGAAAGATCAATCCTGATAAAGGAGAATATATGTGGAATGAGATAGAGTGTGTCAATCTCTGATGGCAAATAAATCTGACTGATGATGTCCACAGGCTAATAGGAGAAGGAAATAAGTGTTAAGGGATCAGTGAAAAAAGTGAGCATGAGGACAGAAGTTCAAACAGAGGAAAAGTGAGGCAGAGAAAAACCACATTAACATCCCAATTTGTAAGGACTGCACACCAAAGTGGACAACTAATCCAGAAGGAATGCAACAATAGGGAAAAGGTGAGAGAGATAAAAACTTTATAGTACCTGGAAAACAAAAAGTGTGGGATAAGGCGATTGAGAAGACAGAAGACCCCTGATCAATCAGCCAAGTGAGAAAATCCATAAGATGAGGAAGGGCAAATGGAACAAGCTAAAAAAAAAAAAAGAGACCCACCAGGACAAATTGGACCTCCTCACCAGGGACTGAATAAAAACCAGGCGTGAAGACACAGGATATGAAGGGCTGGGTAAAATGCCAGTGACCGAGGTTGATGTAGAAGGGACAAAGTAAGAGAAAGAGGTAACTGAAGGGCAGAATGGAGTTGGAGCAGCCAAGAAAACTATGGTTGACACATGGTGGTGTGGATGACCAAAATCACACTGTGAAAAAGACAGATGGGAGGATAAACATAAAAGTATTTATTAGTCTAATCTTGCATGGATAGCCAGAACAAAAGATGAGGAACTGTAGATCAAAGCAGAGGTAACTTGGTATTGAATAATGTGACAAATGCATCCAGATGAGGAGTACCCCACTGAAGGCATAGCCACTGGAAAACAAGAGGATCGAGAGACCAATCCATCGGATAAACTTTGTTGGGATGGGAAAGACGATCTGCAATAAGATTGAATGCACCTGGAACATGACATGCTAGTATACAAATAATGAGTGTGTGGGCCCAAAAAAGGAGATCCAAGAATCGACCACAAAGGGAACGAGAATGGGTGCTGCCATGGTGATTGATATAAGCCACCACTGTAGAATTGTTAGAATGGATCATGAACAGACAATTCATGGCAAGATGGATAAAATGATCAAAGCACCCTGTATGGCCAGACGATCCAGGAAGTTGATATGGTATAATCTTTGGCTAGAGACTACCGACCTGAAGCTTCCTGCCGATTGACCCACACTCCCCAGCCCTTAAGGGAAGTGTCTGTGAAGATATGTAAATCTAGATGAGGAGGAAGCAGAACACTCATCAATGTATGGGCCTTGTCCATCCACCAATGCAGATCGCCTACAAGGGAAGAAGGAAGGGAATTAGAAGCCTCCAATGGATCCCATACAAGATTGCATTGGTCATGCAGAGTCCACTGAAGAGACCTCAAATGCACTTAACCCAAGGAGATAAGGGCTTCCATGGAAGACCACATTCCAAAAAGCAATAGAACATCGGGAGTTGTAAGAGAAGCAGCAGTAAAGGCGTGAACTGAAAGCTCTATCAAACAAAGTTAAAGAGAAGAAGGTTGGGCCCGACTGAGATGAATGATGAAAGACACTCAAATGGACAAGATATTGGGTAGGAATAAGAAATGACTTTATTAACTAACCCAAAAGAGCTGCCTCCAGGAGCAGCACGAGTGTGATGGTCAGATTTCTGTTTGGAACGAGCTAACAGAAGCTGGTCATCCATGTAATGATATGAGCGCAGCCCCTGAGCATACAAATGTCAGGCAAAAGCCTTGACCACGCATCAAAAGATATGCGGGGCTGAAGCAAGTCCAAAGGATAGAGCACAAAATTGATAAACTACCCCATGATGAACTAACCAAAGATAGTGCCTCAATTTAATGAGGAAGAAAAATTAAAAACTGGGAAAATGAGTTATCTGAAAAGTTGTTAACTATTGAAAAACAAAGAAAAAAATCCACTTCAGAATAATAATAACAAAAAAAACTCCTGAAGTTGAACAAAAAAAAACACGATTGAAGAGCACTACTAAAACATCTTGACATGAGCACTGCCAAAACGAGAAGTGATAGTTTGGTAGAATCGAAAGTGAATAAAGGGAGTCATGTGCATCAGGAGAGTATGTCACACACTTATTGGTGGAGGGTTGTTGCATGATGATTTACACGCGAGACGCAGTTGAACCAGTTGAATGTAAAGTATGTGGGAGCTCAAGGCTTGTGCCATGTACATAGAGGGCAGCACTGAACGAGAATAGCTATTTCTGTGAGATGAGGTAAAGTACCAAATCCAAAAAAAATTTAATACAATTTCTTAGCATTTTATGCACATGAGAAGCTCATGCATTATGTAATTCAATGATTTGTTTACTCTAAATTCACAGTCAAATCTTTAGTAAGAATACTATATTAAAAATTCTGATTTTTTTGTAATCACTATACTTGTAATGTATACTACAAGCTTACCAAGTTTTGTTTAAATACACTTAGTAAATTCAAAATTATAATAAACAGAAACAGAATTTGGTGCAATGCACCCACACTGTACATGAATATGGTGAAACAGAAGCCATAAATATCCTTATAATCATTCTAATTGACAGTCCGATTAAACTGAATCTATACGAACCAACACAGAACAATGCAACATACCTCGGTGAATGTTTTCTCCTTGATCTTGTGAGGAAAAAGGTAGATCATAGTCACTGTCTTCCTGGTAAATTGCTGTCTGTATGCTGGTCTGACTTCCACTATTGTGTCTAGTTTTATTATTCTAAAACAAATATACATAAAAAATGTTTAATAAAAACGTACTCTTTCAAGAACATTTTAAATAAATATTTTTACAATACAAATCACGATCTTATTTACATAAAAAAATCTCAGTAGTAAAATATTTTGGTTTTAGGAATTAATCAAAATGCATTTTTGTCTTAATATTAAATTTTGAAGTTGATATTCTAATTACTAAAATTTTCATCATGTACTATTTCTATGTTTAAAGTTGATGAACTTTACTTAAACAATATCCAAGATAAGCATATTTCTGAATTTTAGTTTCAGTACATAATTTTTTAAGATTCTGTTTAGAATAACACAGCACCACAACAAGAAAATCCACAATTATCAGTTAATACTTATCTAAACTTTCTAACATGCATAAAACAATAACAGTTATATTGGCTATATTAATAGCTAAAACCTATTATAAATATAAAAAAAACATTGATTATAGATGCAAAAACTATCTCTACAGAATAGGTCACTTCAGCTTACAGGGACAAAAACAATCTCAACTGTATAGGACATTTCAGCTTACATGGGATAAAAACTATCTCAACTGTCATAGGCAAAACCCATCTCAGCTGTAAAGGTCTCTTCAGCTTACATGGGATAAAAACTATCTCAACTGTCATAGGCAAAACCTATCTCAGCTGTACAGGTCTCTTCAGCTTATAACTGTATAGGTCACAGGAGCTTTAGGCAAAACCCATCACAGCTGTAAAGATCTCTTCAGCTTATAACTATATAGGTCACAGGAGCTTTAGGCAAAACCCATCTCAGCTGTAAAGGTCTCTTCAGCTTATAACTGTATAGGTCACTTCAGCTTATAACTGTATAGGTCACAGGAGCTTTGTGGATTTGTGAAATCTTCCATTAACCACATAGCCACTTACTTAAGACAACTTTATGAAACAGATAAATCAGGTATATATCAACAATTTCTGCTGGGATGTTATGCAACAAGGTTTGGGTGATATATATATATTATGTTAGTAAGCCCTTAGACTTCTACTGCCAAGAATTGTTTAGTACTCCATGATGTAAAAAAACTGTTCATTATTCAACATTGCATGCCATTGGATAACATTTGTAAACTCCATCAACACAGCCAGAACTCCATGATACATAAGTGATTTTAGATATCCAAAGAGCCCAAAACAAAGTGCATCATCTAACAGTATGTAGCCTGATGAATACAGAACAGCATAATTCAACTTTCTGTGACATAACTCAAAGGATGAAAGCCACTGTTGACATAAATGGTGAATACAGAACAGCGTAATTCAACTTTCTGTGACACAACTCAAAGGATGAAAGCCACTGTTGACATAAATGGTGGATACAGTGAGCAAATAACACCCTCTGTTTACCATTTCTGGTGACTATGGATTTATTTTCCCCAAAGTTTTCATTGGTACAATTACCAAGAAATACTGCTGTATGAAAAAATAATATTTGTTTAATTGATGTTCAAACAAACCAAGAAAGTTTATAAGTAACCTGTATATAGTTATCTTACTTATGAACAGAAGTTTTTAATAACTAGCTGACTGCCTATCATATGACAGAAAATGCTGATTAATTTTTTTCTCAAAATTAATTATATTATAGTAACAATATTTGTATAAAGAATGTTTATCTTTTTTCTATTATTTCATAAAGACAACACTCTTTGTGTATATTTGGTCATCTTCTGTAAGTGGTCCTTGATTAGAATTTTGACTTGTGTATATTTTTCTGTTATGTTCAAATCATATTCTTGAAGAAATATTCCTACATGGTCAAATATCTGACCATGCTATTTATTAACTGTGATGGCATAGGCAATGAATTTTACGGTAGTCAAATGCACAAATGTACAACTTTTCTTTAAAAAATTTCTTATCAAAAGTGAAAAACATAAATAATAATCAAATGTTAACAAATAATTCAAATCTTTAATGTATCATGTTATTGTTGTTTTTCCTAATTTTGTAACAACTTGCTCTAAACATAAGTTAATAATTAAAAAAAAGTTAAAAAATCCCTACTCGACAGATTTTTGAGCTTGAAACTTCCATTTCAGACAAACCACTGAGCCAATATGAGCATTATCAACAGAGAGTGGAGTGTTACCAACTAAGGAAGCATTACAAACAGAGTGGCTTTTGTTATATAGATATTTGGACACAAAATATTAGCTGCAGAGTCAGAAGAAAATATATGGCATAAATGTAAGTACACTATGTTACCTTATCAGGTGTTTTCTGCTGTTCATCAGAATTCTCTGATTCACAAAGAGCAATTGAATTCCTTTTGCGTAATCTCCCAAAGTCTTTCATAGAGGGCATTTTGGGTCTCAATTTAACACTAGACCCTCTTAAGAGGTCTTCACTGTGGCCCATTTTAATTGGATATTCAGAAGCAATCGTGTGTTTCGCTGATGGAATTTGATGGGAGTAGTGCTTTCCTTGTAAGTTGGAGATGCTTGATGCAACAGAATTTTGGGCTAGTTGTGTAGGTCGTGTATCTGAAAGTGAAATCTCAGACATCCGAAAGATGTCCTCCTGAAAGACATTGATAACAAGACAAATGGCTAAAAGTAAAAACTTTACATATTGTTATACTAAACAATTCAAAACTTCTGAATAAAAAATAATCCACTGTAAATACATGTATGTGTCATAGCTACTAAAATTACAACTTTATATTTATCTAGTTAGTAAAAAAAAATTATATATTACCAGGTTTGAGAACTTTAATGGACTACAACTGCCTGTTGAAAGAAAAGGAGATGATGTTTCAGCTTCTGTACTGTGACCTTGAAGACCTCGGTATAGAAGCCGAAATATCTCTCCTTTACTTTCAATAAACAGTGCAGTCCACTAAAGTTCTCAAACCTATTATATAATACCAGTACTCTGTTAATTTATGTTTAACAGTAGAATTGAATTTTTTAAAACTATAAATGAATAATGATGCTCCAACATAAATGCACAAAAGCTAAAGTAATTTTGCATGATATGCATAATGTCATAAAGCTGTTATTTTTACTTACACTTTATTTGTAGTTAAATATATAATCATTTTTTTATGATATTCATAAAAATAATTAATCAACAACATATTCCTAGGTAAACCAAAACTACTGAGAAGTATAAGGAAATTTAATGCATTAAATTCAATGTCACTTAAAGTTATAAATGGAATCATACACAGTGAAACCAACCAGAACCTTCAAGATGGCTATGTGTAAGGGGATGGGGAGGGTAGGAATGATGGAGATTAAAAACAAATAATGAAAAACTGAAGTGAAGCCATTTCTTAATGTGAATGTCATAGAAAGAACAAATTGAACAAAATATTCAGACATAAGTGACCTTTGTTGAACATATCCAGTTTTTAGTCAGAAATTGTCTGATGGCCAGTTACTATGTTAAGCCACGGGTAAATAACAATGGATTTAATGTGATCCAAAGAAAAAGGATAAGCAACATATAATATGCACACTTGACAAAATACATTATAGATCAACAAATCAATGACATATTAAGGCTGCTTCCACAAATGGTAGTCAAAAGAGAATCTGATGAGAGCTATTCTGACTGCATATCTGGACAAGCTTGGAGGTAGCTCCTTGATGGTATTAGGTAGCATCTACTCCAATGACATGCTGTGAAATGTTAAGAATAATGCTCTTAAATCAGTCCATTTCCCTACTGACAACTTTAGTTTTGATGTATGATAATACTAAATTTCACTGTGTAAGCAATGTCACTGCCTTTCTTTAACAGCATTTTACATAGAGCAAAACCTTATAAAACAAATCTGGAATCGGCTTTAGGAACTGATTTCATATATACTTCACCCACTTGAAATAATGAATCAGATATCTCGGGTATTAAAAATTGTTCCCCAAGAACTCTGTCCAAAGACTTATACAAATTATTCAACAATGTTGTAATTTTGGTTGCTGAAGTTGAATTACATGCTAATAAAGAGGACACAAATGTTCTCATAACTATTTATTTTATCTCTGATACACAGTACTACCAAAGTCACCCCTAAAACTAATAGATGTGACATCTCAAGGCCATATTTCTTTGAAACTTCAAAGTTCAGGGTGATGTTAGGAATTACTTAGTGAAAACTAAGACTGGACAAGATAAAAGTTCAATTAAGTTAGCTAATGTCAGGGTTGTTGTGTTATGTAAGGGTGAAGATTTCAAGATTGATTCTTGCATATTTAATTCTCTCACTACGAGGTGAGCTACTCTGACCAACCTCGTAACAATTTTCTACTCGTTATAGTTTCCATATTATAACTTTAATATAGAATGTTTATCCTCTCAAAATTTGGTAGACTTTTACTAAATATTTGACTATGAACATATAATCTTCTTTTTGAGTAGTCTGGGTGCAAAGTGATTTCCACATTAAAATTAAAAATACTTTTCTTTGTCTCAAAAATTTCAAATTTCATTTACGTTACCTCTAAAACCTCCTAAATAAATTCCAGACTTTTTTCTCAGTGAAACTTTATATTCTATGTTATTTTCTCTACCTTAACTCTATATAAGGTTGGTCAATATGACTGACCTCATAACCACTAAAAAGAAATCGAAATAAATTCTAGAATGACTTTAAATAGTAACATGAAACTACATTTGTTTATCTTATTAAATAGCTTTAAACGTGTAACAATATACATATATTTATACTTTAATTTTATTGCCCTTTGAACCATGTCTAACTACTATTTGCACCATTAGAAGTTGTAGATCACTTGGCAAACATGCAATTCACTTTACGCTATCATTATGCAACAGCTACTTGTGAGCTGCTCAAGGGTATACCTCATGAAAATTTAGCTTACATTATTATTTATTTTACCTAATCTAACCATAACTAACCTAAAACGTTTCCAATTTTTACATTTTAGTTACTTTTATAATAATAAATAAAGAATAAACATGAAAAACAATAAATAAAGTACTTACCCGGGTCTTCTTTTTTTTGCCATCGACTGTCGATGACACATAACCCTACTTCTTTATACTAATGGTATTAATGCACTAAATATTTTTTTATCTAATTAAATAATGCATCAAAGAACACAAAATAATAACATGCAAAACGCAGACAATGTCCCATAAATGTCAAAATTTTTCTGGCTTTCTAATTATGCAACAAGAACCATTAAAAATTCATAAATGTTTTCCCATGAGAATAAACTTGAACTGAAAGTGAAATTAAAATGTAGAAATGCAGAAAAAATGTAATATAATAAGTCATTTCATAGATGAAAACCTTAGCTTTCTATTGGTTATAAATAATATAATATTGAACATCAGAAAGAACTACTGGCAATTTCTGAAAGAGACGATGAGGCACATGGGCATAGCAAGAGGGGTCTGATTTTCTAATTTATTGCTCTGTAACTAAGTAACATTCAAAGCTATGTAACTTATGCTTTGCCTGAGTTATGACAACATTTTAATGAGTAATTTATGTTAAATTTTGTACTTGTTGGAGGATTGGTAAATAAAATGGGATGCCTAGACAGAAACTGTCACAATTCTCAAACTAGGGGAAATTCAAGATTTTTTTAAAATTATTGCCTTATAAAATTAAGAACTTAAAAACATTGATACTACTAAAATATGGATTATTAGCTATACTTTTATGCTACATTTATTGGTATAAATAAAAAGAATGTTTATATGTTATGGATTTTGCACAAAGCTATACAAGGGCTATCTGCACTAGCCGACCCTAATTTAGCAGTGTAAGACTAGAGGGAAGGCAGCTAGTCATCACCACCTACCGCCAACTCTTGGGTTACTCTTTTGCCAACGAATAGTGGGATTGACAATCACGTTATAACATCCCCATGGCTGAAAGGGCGAGCATGTTTAGTGTGACGGGGATTCAAACCCGCAACCCACAGATTGTAAGTCGAGTGCCCTAACCAACTGGCCATGCTGGGCCACACCATAAAAAGAAAGCAGTTTAATTAAATTTTTAATGTAACTCACTAAAACCTCATAAAATATGCAGAAAAACATGCTTGTAGAGAGAGGGTTAATGGAGTAATGTAAAACAAAAACATAATTCTGTAGAGATTCAGAGCCATGAGATATGGATATCTAATTTGGTTTGCCACAATTTTTCTTTTATTTTACTACCTTGTGAATTGTGACTAAACTTAATACATTGTGTCTCATTTTAACTACTTTTGAAATTTGTCAGTAACTTACTGATATTTGATATATTTTGTCCAGTGTATATGCTATTTGTAAACTAATAAAACCAATAAACAAATCCATTCCTAACAGGTAACCAATGCCATTTAGACAATAAACAAAGCATAACTTCTTACTTCTTGACAGATTTATTTTTCAATTATTCAAGCCTTTCCAGAAATTCTCAAGGTCTTGTCTAAACATAATAATACTTTTTTATTCATGATGTTAGAAAAACACGTAGGTTCAAGAAGTCTTAGAGGAAATGAACAAAACCCCTATAACCCTATATGGTTTTTATTCATTTCTATCAATCCTTTTTTATGTTACTTGGTTTTAATATCAACTACTTATTCATTTTTTTTATTTTGGGATAATAAAGTTTGAGATTACAATGATCACATTTCAAAAACTTTATGCTCTGCTAAAGTAAATATGTTGTTTGTTTTTTTCAAAATCCTAGCTCTCATCAATTAATCTTACAATAAAATACTGCAAGTGCGAACTGCAAAGATCGTACCAAAGTTTTTCCTTGAGTAATAAAGATGATATTATTGAACTCCACATACACATAGTTCAACTACAATGAAACTTTCATTTTCTTTGTTGTATTTAGGTATATTAACAGTTCATGTATGTACTTTTCAATTATGTATTTGAATTTGCTTGCTTTTATTTAGAATTTTAATATAAAGCTACATAAAGGGCTACCTGCATATATTCATCTGATTTTAACTGATAGACTAGAGGGTAGACAGCTAGTCAACCGCACCCACTACCAACATCTAAGTTACTCTTGTCTGACCAAACAGTGAGATTTGACTGTCACTTATGAAACATCCATAGCTCCAAGATGTGTAGTGCATTTTTGTGTAAATACAATATATTTACTTTCATTATAACCTTTAGATCAGTACATGTTACTGGAGCTAGATTCCACCTAGGAGAAGTTGAAGATTAAAAAATATTAGTTGTAAGAAATACCTGGAATTCTGGAATGGTGCTCGAAGGTGTTGGTAGAGGAGATTGACTAGTCATCTGAGAGCTTGCAATGTCTTTAGGCATGGAGCCTAACATACCTCGACCATGCTTTCCTCGTCTGCTTGACTGTAAGGACATGTTACTTCCTAATAGAAAATGATAAAAACTGCAGTTTCTGGAAACATCTGTGTCCCATACTTTCTAAAATATTTTATCAGTAGCAAATAGATAAAAAAAACAATTTTAGACCTTTTTATAAAGCTGTTAGTATTCTATAAGAAGTGAAAATTTGTATTATTTTATGATAACGTTTACTGTAAACATTACTTCTGCTTTCTAACTACAAATGTTAAAATGTTTAATGGAACTCCAGCTAAATTTAAATTTCAAAATATATTAAATGCCATTCATTATTGGCACTACATTTAGATCTTTTGGTAATGTCTGTACAATAAAAACAGTCTGAGTATGAAATAAAATTCAATAATAGATCTTTTTAGTAAAAAAAAAAACAAAATTCAAATCTTTTTCTCTCTCTATTTTTCATAATTCCTCTGTGTAGTGCTTAAAACTGTAACTTCCAGTAGCAGTAAATAAAAATTTCAATCTTACTCACAAGGGTTTATTATATAATTCAACAACAAGTGAAATTACAAACTAAACTGGATTAAAGTTTTTTAACTGAAAAAAAGGTTTGGGAAATACCTCCATATAAATGAACTACAAAAATATTGTATTATTGAGTTTAATGTACACCAACCACAAATTATGCCTCTTTTGATATTGGCTGTAGTATTTTTCTCAACATATAAAGAGAGAGCAAAAAAGACTGGAATCAACAATTATGCTTACTAAGTAAATGATTTAACTAACTAAGCTATCACATTTCAAGTTTTAAGAGATGGATTTTTGAGTTATGTCAATTAGCTTGTGAATTTTGAAAGTCTGACCAAAGTTTACCTGAAACTGAGTTGTCTCTGCCAAGCATCTTATTTAGTATACTCCACGGAGCCTGTCTGCGATAGGAGGATCCCATTAGAGTGCTACGGGACCCAAATGAGAGTGGGCGAGAGCCATGGAGCCGTTTCACTGGTAACGAATAAGGAATGTTCAGCTGCAAAACATGAAGATTGGTTAATCACTATGTTGGATTTGTTCAGTGTCCCACAAGAAAAAGAGTAAGGCTTAATGATGGAATACATCAAAGAAGCTATATCTGACAAACTGTATATTAATTACATTTAATAAATCATCAGTGAACAAGTTTTTTCTCTCTAACTATGCTCCATTAACCAACTGATTCAAATGATAACATTCTTTGTTTTCCACACAGATTAGAAAATTAATATAAATATCAATAAATATTTTGCACTAGAAACATGCTTTGCAATTTTTAAAATATACAATTTTGACAGACTAACACACATACACACACACACTTAGATGCCAAGGCAACACTTTTTGTGCTGTTATTTCTATGTCTACTAAACTACATTTAACTGCAATATGAAGTAGAAATGTGATAAGAAGTACAACAAACTCTGCAGTGTTTGACATGCAGACAAAAGTACCATAATATCAAATCAAAATCTTGTCAAAATATTCTTTCAAACTAAAAGTTGCATTACAATTAATGACTAATTTCTTAATGCACACAATTAAAAGTACTTATTTTAACCATTCTTTAATAGCAAACTAATAAATAAATATATATATCAAGGTTTTGTTGTTATAAATTTTGATTGTTATCTACCTGAATTTACCTGAATCTATGATGTTTAAAAATGACAAAAAAAATTTAAAAAATCTAGAAAACCACTATTAATAAGCTAAAAAAAGTGTGACAGAACAACACACAAAGGTGTTTAACAAGCAAACTATTACAGACTTAAAGCAAAACATATATATACATATGCATAGAAGCATTTTCATTGACTGTTCAGTCTGATATGAAGGATTACATTTTGAACACAGAGTAATTACCTTTGTCTCCAATTCTGTTGCATCTTTCTCTTCTTCCTCAACTGGAGGTAGAAATTCAGCTTCATCTGGAGGAACTCTAAAACACAATTTTTAATGTGTACTGTTGAAAACTTCTGCTTCAATTGCTTTTTGCTCAATGAGTATTTATAAAATTCCTGATTGTAGATATCCACTGTATAAAGCACATGATTAGGAAAACTCCAGAAGTTAAGATATTTTGAACACTAGTGGAGTGAATACGTTTAAGACAATGCCTGGGTTGCAGGATGCAAAATGTACAAGAAAATATTAAGTATTAAATTTGCTTTTCTAGCAAAATATGTTTGATATTATCAAAAGTCAAGATCTTTGAAATCTATAAATCTTATATGTACTGAAATCATGATATCAGCAATTAGATAAAATTCTCTGTATCCAAATTCTGATGTTTATCATATAAATAGATATTTATGTCTAGACATTTAAAACAAAACAGTAACTTAACCTTCACTATTTCAATTTGGTTTTGTTGGTCTGTACCATGTTTAAATATAAAATTACCATGTAATTTATTCACCTATTTAATTTTGTCTTAAAAGCCAACCTTTTTATTGCCTGTGCTTAGCACATGTATTTTAATGAATTTTAGATAATTAATACATTATATAAATAGTTTAAAATTGTTTCACACATAAATTCTTACATACTATGTATTTGCTTTCAAAACATACATAATTTAACATTTTGTTGCACTGAAAATTAATTTCCAATAGGTACACAACACTGAAACCAAGTGAAAAGCAACCACCCAAAATGTACTGGGTGTGCTCTAAGATGAAAATGGAGCACACTGTAGAGTACCACACTACTTCTGGAACAGGTATACCCTTTGCCCTTGAAGTGTAAAATGAATCTGATACAGGCAGAAAAAAAGGATGTGCATAAGTACAATTTGTTCGGAGAGATGCCATCCATAGTGAAATATAAACCAAACTAGCTGTGTACATACACAACCTCAACTGGACAAATGAGGCTCCTTAATTCTTCCTCTACATACATTAGGAGGAAAAAAAGATAAAAACAAATATATTGTAACAAACATTGTGGCTAGGGCATGTGGACCGTATTACATATACTCATCAACCCTAATTGTAAGTAAACAGAGTGTCATACACCAAACAACCGGAATTACGAAGAGGAAGTTAGCAGTGGAGAATTTGGAGGAATGTCACACCAGAGAGAGTGCAATGGGTGTTCACTATTCCCTATTATGAAAAGCAGACCAACCCCAATTTATTCAATCAAAGGGTCAGCAGGTATGAGCAGAAGTCCCCTTCTGCTTTACTCATGAAGTCCATGATTAACAGTCCACCATTGAGTAAAACTTACTGATATCTAGAAACATGTATATATCATTGGGTATGCCATCAGTGGTCTTGTGGAACACCCCATCTTTACAGTGAGTGTTACAGTGAAATCAGTAAATAGTGCAGGTTTGAGAAAAAGCATTCCAGACCAGGCAACACCCACAACAGTGTGGGATCCCATTATCAGTGGTGAAAATGAAGGTTGATGAAAATAAAAGCATAAATGAAAGGAAATAATAAGACCAATCAAAGGTGAACAGATGTGTATAGAATTGCCATGGGATGGAAATGATAACCACCTGAGGAAGATAGAGTCAGATAATGCAGATAATGAGCATTGAAAGTAATGGGAGTAGCCCACATTCTGGCCTGAGTGATCTCTTACAAAGAACAGGAAAGGTGAGCAGCCATAGACATTGTGATATGATGAACTTGAAAAGAAGAAACGTTGTGGAAGCAGCGACCTTCTATGGATAAGCCTGAATACACCAGTCTTACGAGTTGATGAACCCAACCAGTTAGCGTGACAGGAGATAAATCATGGAAAATGGAAGAGTTTCTGGGAATAAAAAATCCGGAATGTGAAGCCCAAAAGGAGGTAGTACATGCCACATAACACCATAAGGAGCAAACAAGACAAAGAAACCAGTCAGAATTCCAATGGGAGTACAGGTGGGAGATGGAAGGTAAAGAAATGGTTGTGAAAGTCAAACCACCTTCATGGGCAGCATAGGTCTTAGACAGGAAGGACTGGGTCAGGTTATAGGATGACACAAAGAGGAATGGTAGAGGATGCGGGTAATGTAAACAGAGTACATGTTTGACCGACAATGTCTGCAAGTAAGGAGAAGAAGGTAGGTCTGAGGGAGAGATGGTTTAATGTGGAACACATAGGCAAAGGTTCAACGGGAGAACATGAAAGGGTATAAAGGGCCACACTGAGATTCCAATCATTCAAATCAAAGGAACATGGAGGGCATATGACTCAAAAAAGGGCAGCAAAGGAGGGAAATGACAGAGGAAGACAAAACCTTATGAAACTTGGAGAAATGGAAGGTGTTCGACGAGGCTGCTCAAAATCTAGACAAAAAGATGATTGGTTAAGTTTATTATTTCCTGATTTTTATGTTTATTCTTTATGTATAATTATAAAAGTAACTAAAATGTAAAAATAGGGATCCTTTTAGGTTAGTTATGATTAGATTAGGTAAAATAAATAATAATAATATTCTAATAAAAATGTTTCATGAGGCACACATGCAAGCAGCTCATAGGTAATGTAATTCATCAGCATAACATGAGCTGCACGTTCCCCCGAGTGATTTACAACTCATAATGGCACTGATAGTATTTAGACACGGTTCAAAGGGCAATAAAACAATAAAATCTAATCATAAATCTATTACAAACTTAGAGCAAACTTATAAACAAATGTAGTTTCATGTTAGAATTTGAAGTCATTCTAGAAAGAAAAAATAGGTAATTTAGATTTATTTCGATTTTTTATTTGGGAGTTACGAGGTCGGGCAAATTGCCTGATCCTGTTTTGAGATAGTGTACAGAAAAAAACCTTTGAAATGCATTTAGGTCTTAGGGATTACAAAAAGGAAATTTGAGATGTTTTAGATGAGGAAAAGTATCTGTAATTTTAACATGAAAATTGCTTTGCACACGGACTATTCAAAACAAATACTCAATATATTTATGGACAAATCTTTATTTTATTAAAAATACTTTACTAAAAAATATGAATAAAAACCCTATAGCCCAAACACTTGTGAAAGGTCAACCTTTCAAAAGCACTTGTGTTACAGGTTTTTCATTCATTTCTATCAAGACTTCTTGAACCTATGTGTTTTTCTAACATCATGAAATCACTAAAAAAATATGATTATTTTGTATGTGAAAGACTTATATTATTAACTGAAAAACTACCAAATTTTGTGAAGATATTATAAGTTAGAAGTATTAAATCTATAAAGACTTTAAACATAGAAAGAAAATTTGAAATAGCAAATAAAACACATATGAAAAAACTTGCATCTTAATTAAGCTGTGCCAATCGAGAAAGTGAAGATTGAGTGGGAATAGCAGAGGGAGCTAGATACACCAATATAGGTGTTGCAGTATTATTGGTAGAGAGTAATCACATGATATGTACATGTTCAAAAATGGCACGAAATTGATGGGGTATATAGACTGGGGAGCTGAGCGCAAAAATTTTTTAGCAATGTATAGAGAGCAGAAAGAAGATTAAAATAGCTTTTTGTGAGAAGAGATAACAATGTACCACAATTATCTTTCATTCATGTAAACGTCAAGCAAAATTATTCACATCTATATTATAACATTAATAAAAAATTTAATACACACATGATACTAGCAGCTGACCCCTGTGGAGGTTCACAATAAAAGTGCCGAGAAGCAATAGTATAAGGAAGATCTGGTGGCATGACTTCATCCCAGTATTGATCCTTAATGAGTTCTGGATGTTCCTGGTGCATCTCATCCACTACCAGATAAGAAAACTAAAGAAGAAAACAGCATAACACAGTTGTTTGATAAGTGCAAACTAAGATATATTTGAGGAAAGAGCAATATGTATTTGTTGAAATTGATTTACTCATTTTTTTATTAGCATTGTCTAATGAAAGTAAAGACTAATACCATAAAGCTGTGAAAGACAGAAAACTTAAAACTTCCTAGTATAATTAATACAGAAAATAACGACTACGAACAAAAACTAATACAAATCCACACAAATGTAAATGTCTTTATAAAATGTTTTCTTTGTATAATAATAATAGTATGTGGAAAATTAAACTAATAGATCAACACTTCTACATATTAAGTGTTGAAAACTGAGTATTATATTTCTGTGCAGTGTCTTTTAACTACATATATGAGAAATCTTCAACGTTACAAGGTTATCTGGACAATTCTGAAAATCATTCTTCTCATCCTTGTTGATTTATTGGAAAAAATATAATATGAACTTTCTGTCAATTAAGACTGCTAACTTTAATTTGGTAACTAATTTTTTTCTGAATATTTCCTAACAATTCTTACAGCTATTAATATAAATTTGTTCTTATGTTTTCACGCACATTCAGTATTTCCAGTAATCAAATGTAGTCAAAAAACTTTAGAAAAATACTTTTTATTTTTGCTTTAGTTATATACCATTCTATTTTTTCTAATCTGTAGATATTTTCCTCACGTTTTTGTGCTTTCATCTCTCCAATGTTATTTGTTTATATTTATAATAAATATAACTCTATCTAAACATTTATTTCTAATTATTGCCTTTTTCAGTCAGTCAGTCATTCCTGTTATTTTCTGTCAATAGCAAAATTTAAAAAGGAATGTTTAGGAAAGTGATTTTTTTTGGTTTAATGCTTAAAAATAAGGAAATCAGAAAATAATAACACCTAATTACCACACTATTTTTTGACATCACTTTTAGTTCCACAAAATATGAGTGAAATGGTCCATCTAGCAAGATAAGGGTTAAAAAATTACCTGATTTTATAATACAATTTTAAAAAAAATAAAAAAACAATCTCTACCTGAAATGGTGTATGAATTGCTTGAAGAATAAAGAAACGTGAATACCTAAAATTAAGAAGAAAAACCAAAATATTTCATGTATAAAATGAAAAAAAACAAAATGTATAAATAAACAGAATATAAAATATTCCAGTTCATAAAAGAGCTTTCCTAAATATCGTTCTTTTATAAACTTGTGTGTATATCATCTACACACAAAAAACTGCACCTGAATATCCCGATCAATAATCCAGTGAAGTTCAAAGTCATCATCATCTTCACCAAATGGATTGATCAAAACTTCAGCCACCTAAATTGAGTAAAATGTATGTGGAAATTTTGTCATTTCAATTTTAATGAAGAAAACAAAATTCATAAAATTATTCATACTTTTCTAAAGTTAAGATAATTATCATGCCATATTCATAATGAAACCTCGTATCACAAAGTATTGAAAACAAGAATGTTAACAGAAAGCCAAAAGGCTGATCAAGGTCACCCAAGTCTTAAGAGAACAACAAAAACAAAAAGAGCAACCCATTTAAAGGTAAATTTGCATCTATATCAGTGACATAACTACAAAAGGTGCCTCGCACACATACCCATAAAAAGTAATTGGCCACCAACATTTATTTTCCTATAATCGTAGTTACAATTCTGAATGACTAATACCATCAACTTAACAGAATAGTGCAATAACCCTTTAGTTTAAACAAATTAAATTGTATGACTCTCTCCTTATCAGCAATTCTTAAGGTTGTCAGGTACTTTGCTCTCCCCCCCACACTTGCAGAGACATACTTACCACACTGACCTATATATATCTTTTAAAAAAAAAGGTTCAAAAGATTCCAAACTATTAGCACACACAATAACACCAGGCACACTTTTCCACAAGTTAACAATTTTAGAAGAAGAAATCATGTCTATGAAGAAATCTGGGATAACAATTTTTCCAAAATTTTACATCTAATACTCAAATGATTTCCAGCCTTACAAGAATTAAAAAACCTTTTTTTTTTCAATGGGCAGCTTCTGAAAGCCAGTGGGCATTTTAAAACCTGAATCATACCACCTGTTATTCTTCTACACTCCAAGGAAAACAAGAGAATTTGTTTTAAATCATCCAAATAAATGAAATCATGTTAGTTTTTCTATGCACCTTGGAAAACCTGTCAATATCAAATCCCATAAAACTGCAACACATGACATTCACTCATCCCAGTCTACATAGACACATTCCTGATGTAACTTTACATCAATTGACATCCTTGCACCTCAAGTACTACTATCATACTGGGGACAAGGTTATTTACAAGGACTGCCTAACAAAATACCTGGAACACAGAAGCCATAGTAATCTGTAGATCAAGATGTCAATCACCTTAAAAAATTAAATAAGATAAAAAAAGCAGAAGCCATATAAAAAAATCCAATATTTCAATAGATTCAACAATCTGGTTAGCTCTAATCATAACAACCAGACACTCTACTACATGCATCAGGTCTCAGCATAACAATCAATCCCACGTTCTTCTTTCTCTTCACAATACTAGCAGATACATTTTACTCTGATTTTTGGTCCTAAATGCTGCATACTTGTCGATATTGAAACATATTTTCCAAATACTTGATCATTCATTAAGTTTGTAAAGGTCTTTATATATCAAAATGTTCTCTTCAATATCTAATTTTTACAGCATTTTTAGGTCATTAGAAAATTTTACTAACTAATAATTCATGTTCTAATCAACATTATAATTATACATAATTAATGACAAAGGCCCAAAATCAGACTCTTAAACTTCACATCAACCAGGTTCATCTAATCAGAAACCCTCAATTTTTTTTTTGCTTTTTCTGGTTTTTACAACTGAACCCAATTTCAAACTACTTTTCTAATCTTTCTGGCAATGTCACAGAAATCAAACTTGTCTGTAGCACCTTATTAAAAGCTTCCTAAAAGTAAAAATAAAATACACTGACAAGGGTCCACATTAAAAATAGCAAGTTCATAAAATATGAAAACTCTTTCCTAAAAACCATGCCAATTACTTTCTTTTTTAATCAATTTCCAGTTTTTAAGATGATCCTCCAAATTACCCCTAACAATAGATTCCAACATCTTACCGGAAAATAAGACAAACTGACATACCTCTAATGTCCTAGATTTCCCTCTCCCACAACCCTTTCTTCTAACAACAAAATATAAAATTAGCAATTTTCCTATCACCACAAATGTTTATTTTGTACAACCACTTTTAAAAATAACTGGCAAAGTTCCCATCAGTTCTTTACTCAACCTCACTTTCTAAAAGTTAAGGAGAAACGTAAGACCAGAAGTATTTCTACACCAAAAGTTTTCTACTTCTTTCCAAAATCCAAAATTTCCTCTTTTTCTTTCATTAAACTAATTACATAACTGTAGAGGCTTGTTCCTACTTTTGGTCATAAAAACACAAGTAAAATCTTTAAATGCTTCTGAAATACATTTTCCTCTGTAATAATATACTCACTGTTGCATTTCAAAATTCAGGATTTTCTATGACTTTCCTGTTATGATACTCCCACTAGAATATTTCAAAATAAAATTTTTCTGTTGTAATGTTTCTACTAATATATCTGAAAATTTGTTTAGAAGCTACAAAAAGTCTCTTGATATCTGATTTTATGTTCAATACTAAAATACTTTTGCAGTCACTTTTAATCTAAACACATTTTTCAGTGTTATTCCCCTTTGTATAGACTTCAGTATGAACAACTCCAAAACAATTAGTTTATTAAACCTGAATTTACATATCTATTCTTTGATGAAGATTCCAAGATTTTTATTAGGAATGCAAATTTTAATTCAATGATGAGGAACCCACTTTGAGACTAATAATGCTTAGAGACGACTTGTATGGGTAACGAAGAAAAACTTTAATATAAGTTTAACATAACAGCAAATGTACAACGTTTCGACAAGGTTCTGCCATCATCAGGTACAAGTAGTTTATATATATATATATATATATATATATATATATATA